CATGCCACGGACTAATAAAATGCTCTCACTGTTTCATTAAGGTACCTCACATACCATCACCAATCAAATGGAGTAAAGTCAGACGAATGTTCGAAAATCCTGATATTAGTTACATGGGGGCTAAGGAAAATTTTCACCCGATTTGATCTTTTTATGAGTAAAACACGCTCTCTCATTTTCATTGAGATAACTCACATATGCGCTATAAAGTCACGCGGAAGTTCAAAAATATTTATATTAGATATATAAGGGCTACAAGAACTATTGATCCGATTCAACCCATTTTTGAAACAAAGACATACTATTATCGATAGTTTCATTTATTTATTCTATTATATGAATTTCAATTATATATCTTACACAATGGCCGATATTTACGGTAAAAAGTTAACTATAGGTACTGGGGTCCACATATTCAGTACCTAGGGGCTTGAACAGTTTTGGTTCGATTTAGAGAATTTTTGGTCACAAGGTGGCATACTTTAAACGTATTATTCACGTAAAGTTTTACGCCGATATAATCGTTGTTGCTCGATTTGCATAGTGGAAAGTGAAAGAATAAAGTGGAATTTAAAATGGTGTCATATGGAAAATAGGCGTGGTTGTAATCCGATTTCGCCCATTTTCGCACCATAACATAGAAATATAAAAAGTATGTTATGTACCAAATTTTGTTGAAATTGGTAAAGCAGATCTTAAGATATGGGTTTTCACCTAAAAGTGGGCTGTGCCACGCCCACTGTCTAATTTTTAACACGGTTTCTATAAAGTCATCTCGTACCATCCCAGGGATAAAATTTAATGTCTCTGGCGTGTTTATTGCTTGATTTATCGCGCTTTTAGTAGTTTTTAACAGTGCCGTTATATGGGGAGTGGGCGGAGTTGCCACCCGATTTCAACTATTTTCACACCGTCAATAGAAGTGCTAAAAACATTTGCTTGCGGTGAGTTTTGTTATTATAGCATTAGCGGTTTAGGAGATATGCACATTAAACCTATTAGAGGCGGGACTACGCCCACTTTAAAAAAATTTTAACTGCAGATGCCCCTCCCTAATGTGATCCTGTGTACCAAATAACAGTCTTGTATCTTATTGCGGAGCTTAGTTATGGCAATTTATTTGTTTTTAATTATTAATGGCGTTTTGTGGGCGTGGCAGTGGTCCGATTACGCACATCTGCAATACTAACCGTCTCACGGTACCAAGAAACATGTCTACCAAGTTTCATAAATATATCTCAATTTTTACTCAAGTTACAGCTTGCACGGACGGACGGACGGACGGACAGACGGACAGACAGTGACCCGGATTTCAACTCGTCTCTTCATCCTGATCATTTATATATATATAACCCTATATCTAACTCGATTAGTTTTAGGTGATACAAACAACCGTTAGGTGAACAAAACTATTATACTCTGTAGCAACAGGTTGCGAGAGTATAAAAAGGTGAACTGAGCTCGCGTCGTGACTAACTTTTTCCGAAATTACAACGTAGTTTATATGTTTCATTTCTTCATTTTCTCTATAGTACACAACTTAAGGGTGAATTGTAGCCTGACTGGTATTCCAATGATGAGATTGGATGGCATTTTGAACAGTAAAAGTATAATTTTCAGAAAAATCAAGGCAAACGATAAATCCTCCATCCTCAATAGATTCTTTCTTGTCAGTAAAATATGACGCTTGAGATTGTGCAAGAAAATCATGTCTCAACAATTCAGACCATTTTTGTCTTACATCATTAAGAAAATCTTCTTTTGCCTTCGTTTCTTCAATGATTTCAGTTCAAAAAAATTCAAAATAAATTAACTGAATTAAATAATAATAAAAAAATGGGTAATCAAAAGCATTAACAATTTAAACATACAAAATCTAATAATTTCATTATTAATATGTAGATTGCGTAACAAAATATAAAGAATATTACTTACTCAGTGGCGTAAATATAAAAATTATTTGATGACAATAATTACAAAAATTTTAAAAGAAAAGAAGAAGATTTGAGTGAAAATTTCTTTACCTATCAGTATTTTTCCATTGGCTGTATGTAATTTCATTTATTTCATGGTTATTAAGCAATAGTTCCAATTTGTTTATAATACTATCACTTCCTGGACACTTAGTACACTTTGAAAAGTAACACAATGATGCAGACTCTTGGCAAACAGAGCTTTTAATTAAATCATTTGATCTTTCTGAAATAATTGTCCCCTCTTTTTTTAGTTCATTTTTAAATCCAGCTAATTTCAATTTGAAATTTTGAATATTAAAATAAGTCATAAGACAGTCAAATTTTTTTGCGGATTTCGTTACTTTAATGTTTATTGCAAAACACTTAAAAATTTTTTATTAATTTTTTGAGGGAGAAGTCATTAAAATTTTCATTTCTTAACTTAGAAGTTAATTAACAATTTGAAAAAAAAAATTATTTAAATTCATACATATTTTCTCAAAGTACAAGTTTTGAACTATAACTCCTGAAAATTTCATTAAAAAATCACCAATCGTTTTCTAATTATTAATTTTTTAACTAAAAGTAGTAAAAATTTTCAATTAAAAAAAATTGTTGATAAAATTAAAATTTAAAAAAACTGAGCGGGAGATTACTTGTTCATGATGACTACTTTATGAAAAAATACTCACATTCAAATTCGATGATCAAGTGGAAAATGGGGGGTCCACTTGACGTGTTTTTACTCAAATGTATTTGCTAATTACGCACTGCTGGCAGTTCCCATACATTCACCTCTTTTTTTTTAATATTTATAATAAAATTTCGGTTAAACCAAAATTAATATTACTCATCAAAACTTTCTATTAAAATAAGTAAAAACATTAAGAATACAGCAAGTAATTTTTAGTTTTATCATCATAGTTTCCAACAAATCGCAATGATTGACGAGTTCATTTTTGTTGAAACCCATGCCATTTCAGTGGTACCATGAGAGCAAAAACCGGCCCACATCGTCGCTCTGGCCACTTAAATCTCTTTATCAACGTGTTTGTCATGCAAATAGTATTTGAATCCATCTAAATTAAATAGTTTTTCATCGCTAAATAAGATTTTCGGCGAAGCTCAGACCCTTGGCTTTATCAGCGTCAGTTAATGGAGTTTTGTATAAACAACATGGTCAGATGATTAAAATAATTGTCGTACATGTCTACTCTTTATTGGTAAATATAATGTGCGCAAAATTTCTGTCGACATTATTTATTCCCCGCCTTTGTCTTTAGTGTTTCATATTTCGTATTTTTGCCCTGAAGATCGTGCAATTTCAAGAAATGACATATCAAAGTCTGAGTCTCCAGTTTTTTGGAAATTTGCTTTGTAGAAAGGCCAAACCGTAACTTGTATCTTTTCCTCAGTTAAAAATAATTTTCCTCGAGGCATTTCGCCGTTCTAAGACTATTGTTGAATAAACATTACAGTATTTTCAGTATACAAAATTTAATTTACCCTTTTCTCCAAAAAGATCTACACAGGGATCAAATTATTCTAAGTGAGTTTATGCGAACTGATACATCTAAACGCTTTGAAAACTTAAATACAACTAAATTATTTTACTGATCTCTCAAAACGAAAAAATGTATGTAACATCATTATTTACCGCCATACTTAAACGACAAAACTAAATGCGCATTTTTTTTAATGAACAATGAAAGTAACTCCACAGTTTTTATTTAAGTAATAGTGAGTCTATGGGAATTTCCACCAGTGTATTTGTAAATGTTTGATATGTATAGTTCTATGACCACATCAGGCTAATAATCTAAATTGTGTTTAACGCTGTTAATCTAAATGTGTTCGCCTTGGAATTTTTATTTTTGGCTTTTAAAATATTACGAGATTTCCAGCTAAATAATAAGATTCATAAATTCAGTATTTTCTCATCGATATCATATGTCTTTTGGTGAAAGCAAATTATTTTGTTGCGCTGTTTGTTTTGGCATGAGCTTGTTTTTTTAAGCTGCTTATTTGTTGCTGCAACTGGTTAATTGCTCTTGGGCTCTCATGACATTTTCCATATGCTCGTTATATATGACGGCTTTTGTTTAGTTTTTTTTTTTGAAAATTATTTTATTTTTATTTCAGTTGGTTTTTAAACTGCAATGCGTGTTTGTACACCTTTTGCACTGCTTTTTGGTCTAATATAATTTTGTTTGCAAAACTAGTGTTTCGCCACCACTGCGCAACCAATAGTAAAGTCGAACATTGATCTAGCTTCATTTTATAAATTAGCAATAGCATTTGTTCTAGTCGTAAAACGGGAGAAATAAAAATAAGAACATATATATAACCAGAGAATGTAAATGAATAGAGAAGGAGCAAATGTTAGCTGTACTAAAATGTTAATTACGATGAGGGAACATTGAAAACGCGCAAGTTCGAAAATAAAATGTCACCACACCTATCAGGGTACGTACACCACTCTATAAGCAAAATTTATATACATACATATCCACAGATGTTCTTTGGTATGCGCATAAACAAAAATTTTAATAATAAAAACAAAAGAAATTGACTTCTGACAGGAAAATATTAATAATGAGGGAAATAATATGAAAATAGAATTAAAATATCATTCAATAAAAAAATGTTATTCAAAATAAAAAATAGTATTTACGTTCTCTGATATAACATAGTATGTATGTATATTCCAGAAATGGAATATTCAAATTGGGTGAGGGTACGTATCTCACGTGAGCCTTATTTGCCTAGTACCGAAGATGCCGATGTAGATAATATAAAAAAAAAAATACTGTATTACACGTATTCGATTGGTATTAAGCATATTTCTGTTGTCATTGTTTAAAGAGTTTATTATGAGATATATGTTATATATTTATGTTTTATATCCATGACCAGCCTATTAAAGCGATAGTGGAAATAATTTATTTCATTTCTTTTGGTATCAGTGGAGTTCTTTTGGGATCAGGGAGTTCCCTTATTTATGTAAATTACATGAGTACATATTTATTTTTTTTTTAGAAAAAAACATATTCGTTCAGAACCACCAACATTCCTGAAGAGACTTGGTGATTGCGAAATTTATCCTGGAATGACAGCTAAGTTTACAGCATGTGTAGCTGGCAGCCCGGAACCAGAAGTAGAATGGTTCAAAAATGATCAAAAACTTTTCCCATGCGAAAAAATATCTATGGATCACGAGCCGAATGGATTACTACGACTTACCATCAAGGATGCAGATGACACTGATGTTGGTCGTTATACCTGTCATATATTTAATCCATATGGAGATGAAACCTGTCATGCACATCTCATTTATGATAGTAAGACTCTGTCTATGTAAACTGGCATTCATAATTATAACGCATTATTTGAATTATATCCATTATCACATTCTACGTTTTCAGATATTGACGACAACCGCAGAAAACCTCTTTCAGAGCAATATAATGATATAAATAAATATAAAAGGACAGGCGTGCCTACACCGATCACGGAAAAACCTACAATATCACGAATGGCTGACAACAATTTGAAGTTGGCTTGGAAACCGTCCGTGGTTACAACGCCCCATTATCCTGTGACATATCTGGTAATATAACAAATTAGTATGAATGTTTTTTATGAATCATTACAACTAATAACCGCACAAGACCTTCGGGGTAACACACGGGTCCATTCAATATTAACTATGAATTAAAATTTTACCGTTACACATCACATTATACACATTGTCTAATTTTTACAACTTCACCTATGAAGAATTTCCTTACCAGCTTGGTTGTGAAATTTAATATTTCTGGCGCATTCATATTATTTATTCAGTGAGTTATCGCACTTTTAGTGGTTTACAACATAACCGTAATATAGGGATGAGCGTGGTTATTATATAATTTTACCGATTTCCAGTTTGAAGAGCTGCTAAAATGACTTCTTCTCAGCGAGTTTGGTTGATATAGCTTAAGTCGTAAGTAAACATTAAACCATTAGGGGCCACGCCCACCTTAAAAAAATGTAAGCCGTTTCGTATCTTAATTTAGTGCTTAGTTATAGCATTTTAAAAGTCTTTGTTTAATGGCGTTTTGTGTGGTTGGCAGTGCTCGGATCCCATCTGCAATACCAACCTTCCTTGGGTGCCAAGGAATATGTGTACCAAGTTTCATCACAATATCTCAAGTTATCGCTACCACGGACAGATGGACGAACAGACAGTCACTCGGCATTCAACTCGTCTCGCCATCCTGATGACTTATACATACATAACTCGATATCTATCTCGATTAGTTTTAGGTGTTACAAACAAGCGTTCGGTGAATAAAACTAGTATACTTTGTAGCAACATGCAACATTGCAAGAATGTGAAAATATTGTGAATGAATTCATGAATGTTGAATTATTCTATGAAATTGTAAATGCATTATAATAAAATTTGGTATTTTATTAAGTTATATTCAATGTTGCCAAAGCCAATTCATCAAAATCCCCAAAAATCCTGATCGAATTCCCCAAATTTGGGGATAAAAATCCGCTGATTCCCCACAAATTCCCCTCANAAGTCAGCATTTAAAATATTAGCACAGGACTTGATGTAGCTCATTCTTATGAAATTAGCAGAGAGTGTTTTCAAAAGATTTTCTACTTCTGGTTTCAATTTGTAAAGGACTGTTTCTGATTGAAACAAGGTGTTGAAGCTTGTTGCCAGTGAAAGTACATAAGATATGAATTCTAAATATACGACAGTGAATTGGTTGTTCATTGTAATGAGCATTTCTTCGGTAGTCTTCGATGGATCAGTGAACAATGTTTCTGTCAAGTAGGCTTTTAATGGAATATATTGCTCTAACACACGGTCTACACACGCTTTCAGGGACAGCCAACGAGTCTGAACTGGCGCGAGAATTTTGTGTATTTCCACTTGAAAGAATTCCTGAAACTCTTAATCATTAAGTATAATCGTGACGAAAATCAAAATACCGGTAATTGCACATCTCTAATAGAGAGAGATTCTCTATGTATGGCAGCATCCCTAATTTGTCCAGTTGTCTGTCTTGTCTTGTCTATGACCAAGGGATTCCTTTTCTACTTTATTTAAATGTTTTGTTTGTAACTGATAAATGATGATTGAACATGTGCTTGTTCGTTTTTGTTCGTAGTTAATTAGTAGATCCAAGTTCAAAAAGTTGTGTTTTGTTTCTGTCGCAAAGTAACGATATATGATTTTGTGCAAATATGGAAAATGTTATTAAAAGGTGCAAACAAAAATAAAGAAGATAATCCTAAGGTAAGATAATTAAACCTAATACAATATATGTGTTTTGTTGCGCCTCAAACTTTGTTATTTATCCGGTTAATTTACAAGTTTTTAAGCAAACGTAAAGAGAAATCTGGGCTAAGATTATCGGAGGCGTCAACTCATTACCAGAAGGAAATGCCGCTCCAATTTCAAGTTTGACTTCATAAATTTGACGAAAGTGAGTCAAATGGTAACACAGATCCTAAAATGAAACGCTAATAAATTTAAATGATTTGTGGCTTAACAGACCAAACTTCTCCAAGCTGGTTATGCAAAAAATTCGAATGAGATGGAAATGAATTTAGCAAATTGTAAACTCTGTTCGATGGAACCTAGCGCATAAAGTGACCTGATTCGACATATAAATTCAGAACGCCATAAGAAAAAGTATCATAGTAAAGAACATTCCCAAACTTTCAACGTACTTGCCAGTGACAGTTTGGACATAATTTTTCGAAAAGCTAGATTAAAACTAGACGGAGGCGTTGGCTGAAAATAACATACCAATATCATTCATGGATACCTTGGGACCGCTCTGTAAAGATA